AATTCTTACCTCTAATGCCTCCATCTTCTCTGCTGATCTCGTGTGCATGGAAATGTTATCCAGTAGGTCGGACCAATTGTTAGGAGCTCAAGTAATTGAAGAAAAAGGAAAGGATATTTTATTGATTATGATAGGAATTAGGACTACAATAATCCCTCAAAGTCAAAGCTCTTCTCAGAGAACGTTATTCTCCTCTCCTAAGTCTAGTCAAAGAACCCATTTCCTCCATTTCTCAAACTAACAATTTAAATAAAGAACAATGAAACTAACCTAATCTAATAACAGAATATCTTAACTGACTTATTCAAATTCAAAATAACATTCTAATAATAGAATAATAATAGAACAAAATAATAACAAACTTTCTAATTATTGATTATTGGCTTTCTTCCTACAGGAGTAAACCCGCCACACAGTGGGTCTTGTAGGACTTGTATTCCAGAGGCCTTCATTGCTGTTTTGGGTCCCATCAGGTATTTAGAAAGTTAATTTGTTTATGATTTGGAATTTAGGGATGGGTGCTTGGTGTTAGAAGCAAGAAGATGAAGTTTTAAGTACAAGAAGATAAATATAAAAGGGAGAAGGAAGAATAAAAGTCGTCAAAAACTAAATCAAAGATATGAGTAAGAAGATGATGAACAATAACACACAGTACACGTGACACAGAACAACAAAACATTCTAACAGAGTTATGGTCTTTAACATAAATAGACCTGTTTAAAACTTTTTTAAGAGTTAGAGGACTAAAATAAACTAAAAAAAAAGTTAGAAAGCGAAAGTGAATTTTATCTAAAATAAAGAGTAATTTTGTCTAAAATTAATTGTTACTTATTTTATTTATGATTAATTAATTAATTAATTATAAAAAAAAAATTTCTCTTATATATTTCAACATGAAATATTCTAAGCCATTAATATGAAATGCATTTGGATAGAAGAGAGAGAAAAGCAAATATAATATATAAAATGAATAAAAAAATTATAGATTAAATATAACTTATACTTTTGAAATTTAAAAAAAAATTAAGGAGAGAATTTTTTTAAAAAAAGTAGAGAAACATAAATTTATGAAAAAAATATTTTATTTTACTACTTAATTTTTTTATTTATATAAAAATTTATTGAAAAATTTGTCTAAACTTAGTACAGTTTTTTTTCCCTGAAGTTGGATTCAATCATGTTTAAGCAAATTCATCTACACCAATCTCGAGTTGGGTCATTTAATTTTTTAGCAAAACCTTCTACTTGCTTCCAATCAAATCAACATGCAACCCCATTAAATTAAATTACGTGACTGTTCAGTTTTTTTTTTTTTTTAAAAGGTCTGATGCAAAATAAAATAAAATTATATATACTAAAATTAAATATTAAGACATGTGACAACTACTATTTTTTAATTTTTTAATTATTAATGTATGATTATATAATCATAATTTATCTCTCTTATCTTATTATAAAAACATTCTCTTGCTACAGATATGCCCTTTGCTTTTCCCACCTAGACACCTCAATCCTAAATGTGATTTAATTGATAAATTTTTTTATATCATTTTTACATTTGTAAACTTTATAAATTTATTTTTGTAACACTATATTAATTTCATATTTAAAATAAAAATAAAAAATTTCAGAAATTTTATAACAAATTAATAACCTTATATGCTTCATTCAATTATATAAATCATTTCTATTATTTTTTTACTCTTCAAAATTATGTTTAATAACACAATAACTATTTAATATTTAAATAACAACTAAAAATATTTTTTACATAATATAATAAATTACTATCCTTGTATGCTTGATTATATTATTTACATAATTTCTAGAATTTTTTCTTTCCAATTTTATTTTTACTAACATTTTAATAATTTATTATTTAATTAACATCTACAAAAATACTAGAAATTATAAAAGAAAATACTACCCATAAAATGCTTTATTAAATTATTTACATCTTTTCTACTTTTTTTTCAAATTTTATTTAATAAAACAACAATTTTATAATTTTTAAATAATATCTACAAAAATTTTATCAATTATAAAAAATAAATTACTACCATTTTATGCATGAATAAATTATTTACATTATATCTACATTATTTGCTTTCTTCAAATTCTTTTTTATAAGACTATAATAATTTTATTTTAATTAAAAATTAAAATAACTTAAATATTATTTAAATTAAATTCTATTTTGATATATGAATTTCTACAAATTTTTAAACTGATAATAATTAAATCTTAAAAAAAAAATACAAAGTTATAATTTTTTTTAACCTATATGCTATTTCAAGAGTCTTTTACTATGTGATTTTATAATATATATGTAGAGTATATATATAGCCAGTGTAATTTGGATAAAAAGGCGTATTCATGATTATTGATCAACAAAGAAAACACAATTTTGTGACACGTGTTAACAACTTAGCAGTATTGTTATTTGCTATATGATACTACTAACGTATTTTGACCAATAATATTATTATCATTTTGTATAGTCTGGTATTCTTTTGGTGATAACACGTGTTTAAATCATCACTATCAAATATTTAATGTTCATGTGTTGACAATATATGTTTGTTCATTATCACCTGTCAAATTAGAATTGTATTGAACATTATGGACAATAATAAATTAAAATAATAATAAAATATTATCATCATCCATATTGGTGTGATACTAATATTAATGTAATAAAAAAAAACACTTGACATGAGATTAATTTTTAATTAACTCTATTTTAAAAAATAATTTTTACATTTTTAAATAAAAAAGCTCAACCTTATATGCTTCATTCAATTCAATTATATAAATCATTTCTACATTTTATTACTTTTCAAAATTATGTTTAATAGCACAATAACTATTTAATATTTAAATAACAACTAAAAATATTTTTTAAATAATATAATAAAGTACTATCCTTGTATGCTTGATTATATAATTTACATAATTTCTAGAATTTTTTCTTTTCAATTTTATTTTTACAAACACTTTAATAATTTATTATTTAATTAACATCTACAAAAATACTAGAAATTATAAAAGAAAATCTTACCCATAAAATGCTTTATTAAATTATGTACATCTTTTCTACTTTTTTTAAAAAAATTTATTTAATAAAACAACAATTTTATAATTTTTAAATAATATCTACAAAAATTTTATCAATTATAAAAAATAAATTTCTACCCTTGTATGCATGAATAAATTATTTACATTATTTCTACATTTTTTGCTTTCTTCAAATTCTTTTTTATAAAACTATAATAATTTTTATTCTAATTAAAAATTAAAATAACTTAAAAATTATTTAAATTAAATTCTATCTTGATATATGAATTTCTACAAATTTTTAAACTGATAATAATTAAATCTTAAAATGAAAAAAAAAACAAATATAAAGTTATAAATATTTCTAACCTATATATTATTCCAAAGTCTTCTGCTATGTGATTTTATAATATATATATATATATATATATATATATATATATATATATATATATATATATATATAGCCAATGTAATTTGGATAAAAAGGCATATCCGTGGTTATTAATCAACAAAGAAAACACAATTTTGTGACAGGTGTTAGCAACTTAGCAATATTGTCATCTGTTAGATAATACTACTGACGTATTTTGACTAATGATATTACTATTATTTTGTATAGTTTGGTATTCTTTTAGTGATAACACTGTTTAAATTGTCATGCTCATGTGTTGACAATATAGGTTTGTTCATTACTATCTACCAAATTAGTATTGTATTGAACATTATGTATAATAATAAATTAAAATAATAATAAAATATTATTATTGTCCATATTAGTGTGATACTAATATTAATGTAATAAAAAAAAGCACTTAACATGAGATTAATTTTTATTTAATTCTATTTTAAAAAATTATTTTTATATATTTAAATAAAAAAGCTCGAATTACATGTCTATTCAATTTTAAAAATGTCTCATGCAAAATAATATATATATATATATATATATATATATATATATATTAAAATTAAATATTAAGACATGTAACTATTAACACTTTTTAATTATTAATATATGATTATATAATCAAAATTTATCACTCTTACCTTATTATAAAAACATTCTCTTGCAAGACATATTCTTCTATTTTCCCACTTACACACGTTAATCCTAAATATGATTTAATTGAGAAATTTTTTTACCCTCCCTATCTCCTATTTAAGAATTTAATTTTAAAAGTAATTTTTGAATAAATTTTTAAAAATTTAAATTTTAAACATAAAAAAAAATGTTTGAGAGTTGCAAATAAAAAAAAAAGGAGAAGTGAAAAAACAAAAAATCTTCAACTAAGAAGAATTTCTGTCCAATATCATAACTCAACCAAGTTCTTAAAGATTTGAGTCAAATTAATGGTTCAACTCAAGCTCATACACAAATATCACATATGAATTAAGTTTCTTTTTTTGTTTACAAAAACAAAGTTAACTGACTTTTAATTTATTTTGTAATTTTCAATTTAAAACTTTAAGATAACATTAAATTTAAAATAAATACTTTGAAAAAATAATGCTAAAGTAAAATAGTAAAATTTTCAATTTATATTTAAATAATATACGATTAATTTCAAATTAAAATATCCACCTCTGTATTAAAAAAAAAAAACTCGAGTTCTCGTTTATGAAAATGATCTAACCTCTGTCCTGCACATGCATCTTGGGTTTTAATTTGCAGATAATGTTGTTAAATATAAAATATAATCTCCTAACTTTACAAATAATTAGATTTGCTTTATTATATTCTCTCAGTAAGCCAAATTGATAAAAATAAATAAATAAAAGATGTACAACGTAACCATTTAATAAAAAATTAATATAGAAAAACGATAAAAAGGAAAAGGTTATGAAAAAAAGAAAAAACAATAAGGTTGGAATTCTGAAAAGGGACGGTTCCACGTGGAGTGTGGGGAGAAGGGTGAACCTAATCAAAACCTGTGTTGGATGTTGGAAGTTGGAAGCATAGCATTGGTCCCACCGAAGCAGATAAGTTGAAGAATGCGAGGATCGAAGGAAAAGCGAAGGAGGAGGTTTGTGAATTGTAATGGCAGCGAGCAGCATCACCATCTCAATTTCCTCATCTTCACTCTTCACTCCAACTCAACCAAAAACCCAATGCCTCCTCAAACAAAAACATCATCATCAAATTCCAGCATCCTCTTTCATGGGTAACACTCTTAAAATATCAACATCATCAACATTCCCAATTACTACAACAAGTCGTAGGTTGTTGAGTTGCTCAGCCTCGGCGTCTTCCTCTTCCACTCTTCCCTCCGCCCTTCTGTTTGACTGTGACGGAGTCCTTGTTGACACCGAGAAAGATGGCCACCGCATATCTTTCAACCAAACCTTCCAAGAGGTACCTATCTACACCTCTCATTCAATGATACCATCTCTGTATCACATGTTTATGCGTTGTTCTAGTATACAACTCTTCCTATCAGAATTTAAATTGTTTTTTTTTATTAAAAATTACATAATTTTCTGTTAAATATTATAATTTTTAATAAAATTTATATTATTTATTAATTTCTTATCATATCTAATGTCTTCGCACAAGTTAAAAATATTAAATTTAAATATAACATTTTATCTAAATGTAATAATAATTATGTTTTTTTAATAAAAAATGCTAACTAGTGTCTTTTAAATAATTAAAAAATATTAAAAATGTCATAATTTTTAATACATCCCAGACATAATTTTTAATATATATATATATTATCAAATAAAAATTAAGAAAAGTGAATTAATAAAGTATAAGCAATTTAAGACTACAATTATATATTGTAGGGTATTTAATATTTGTGAACTTCTCCATTTCTTAATGCTTTCCTCTTTCACATGTTGCTTGGTTTCTACCATGCAGAGAGAACTAGGCGTCACCTGGGATGTGGACTTGTACGGGGAATTGCTCAAAATTGGAGGGGGAAAAGAAAGGTTTCTCTAAATACAAAATTCATCCTTAAGGATTTCTCTCATCAGGATCCACATTGGTGCAATTGTTGAATTCATCATTTGATTCAATTTGAAGTTCCAAGTTATATTTGATGTGCCTTACTTTTTGTTTTTGTTTTTTTACTAGGATGACAGCTTTCTTTAACAAGACAGGTTGGCCTGAGAATGCCCCCACAAGTGAACAAGAAAGAAAAGAATTTGTAGCTTCACTTCACAAGCAAAAGACGGAACTATTCATGGCACTTATAGAGAAAAAACTGTTGCCTCTTCGCCCAGGTGTTGCAAAGTTGGTTACTATCTGTTCTTTATCTTTTATCGAAACTTGTTTATCTATAATTGTTTTTGTTTGATGTATAAATAAGGCCATTCCTTAGCCTCCACTTCATAGCTTGAGCATTGGATTCATTTGTTTATTGGCAGGATTTGGGTTTTTCTGTCTTCTTTCTTCATTATTAAATTAAGTTCAGAACAGCTTGGAAGTTGAGATAGTTGCTTTTGGGCAATTTCATTTAAATTTGAAACTCAAGAGAAGATAATTAATTAGTTACAAAATAGTTGATTTAGAACATGTGAAACGTATGTTACAATGGTTTATTATCGGGAAAGATAAAATCTGTGCCTTAACTTATGTTTCTGCTTTTGTTTTCAAATATATATAGGCTTATCGATCAGGCTTTAGCTCAAGGAGTCCATGTTGCAGTTTGCAGCACTTCCAATGAGAAGGCGGTAGGCATAATCAGTTCTGCAATTCCTTATATGAATCTTTTCTGATTAAAGAGAAAATTGTTCCACTTATTCTTGTTTCATTATCTTTTAAAGATTCAATTCCTAGTAGTTATAGCCTTGTGGTTATATATTGCAGTATAATTTGTTCATAAATGCAATATGGGCAATTTGAATTATTTGTAGATTAATTACCATTGAATGAATCATTTGGTATTGATGATTGTATCTACAGTTATTTGTTATTTCATTTTCAGACCTAAATTAATTTTGAGTTGATTTTAGGTCTCTGCAATAGTATCATTCTTGCTGGGAACTGAGCGCGCAGAAAAAATCAAGATATTTGCAGGAGATGTGGTTCCCCGTAAAAAGCCTGATCCAGTAAGATTTTCATCCTTCTAATGTTAGTTTAGTAGTATTTTTGGGGACACAGTCAAAATTCAAAATATATGAGCAGTCCTATTTTACGGCCCTGCATATTAACACAGAATTCCTTCCATTAAATAAAAATCAATTTTGAAATTGAAACTCAATGATTAAAATCCTATATGCCCAGGTTTGAAGTTAGTTATCTGTTTTAGTGTTCTGGAATCTTCAGTGACCCTATCTATACAAAGTTTTCTTGTGGTATAGTAACCTGATACTATACTCAAATTGAGATTATGCAGTCTTTCTTTCTAGATGATGGAATTTACAATGTGGCATGATCTAAGCAGCTAATTGCACTATACTCTTTCTGACAGGCCATCTATCTATTAGCAGCCAGCACTCTGGGTGTTGAACCTTCAAGGTATGTCACAATTGTATTATTAGTGCCTGCAACTGATGTTTGGATACATTCAGCAGATATAAATGTCTTAAATTCACTTTTTATCACTGCCATGCCATGTTTGAATGTGAAATGTCGTTATTTATTTTCTTCAGATGTGTTGTGGTGGAGGACAGTGCCATAGGCCTTGCAGCTGCTAAAGCAGCTGGAATGAAATGCATAATAACAAAGAGCGGGTATATTTCTATTTACGGAATGTGATTCAGCTTTGTGTTTATTAAATTTCTACTTGTTTGGTAGACAATGTGAATACCATGAAAATGTTTATCCTACCTATTAATATCTGATCATATTTGAATACGCCGTGAATACTTCTACACATGATTAGGTAGTTCTCTAAGCTGACCAAACTGTACTGAAAATTGTATCCAGCATCTTTTGGAACTACTATTGTTTGTTATGTAAACTCTGCACTGGTCGTTTTACACCCTTATATGCCTTTTTGGGTAGTGGTTCTGCAGTTTTTATTATGAGTGTGAAATTGTTTCTGGGAAAATAAATGAATCCATCTAATTGTCACACGCTAGGAGAAAATGAAACAGGACTTTTTATGGAATTAGAAAATTTTGTGACACATTTCAGAAATGCTAATGAACCATGAACTGAATTTTATCCGTTAGATGAAAAATGTAGCAACTTTATTAACTACTTCCATAAATATAGGATAAATATTAACAATAAGGTAGTTCTCGGCAATTTGATTGGGTTTAAATGCATTGGGATTCAGGGGACAGGTTGGGTCATCTTGCTTACTCCGCAAGGATTATTATTTGGGTGAAGCATAACTAGATGATGACATTTATTTTAGTTGATAAGGTTTAGGGTATCTTTTAGTAGAATTTTCCTGTGAACCATGGATTTATGAGCTTCCTCAGGTTTCTTTCCTTCAATTTTGTTGTTAGCTTATGTATGCTTGGACATCTTCAGTATAGTGTAATGCAATAGCTTTTCTATATGAGGTTGTTTTCCACTGCATAAACCCTTACCAATTACCATAGCCAATGCTAATAAACTCTTTTGGCTCTTGATTTAGCTTCAAATGTTTGGTTAACTTCAAAGCTTGTTAGAAGTAACTGTCATCTTTACTTCTCAGCAACATTCTTAAATTCAAATGGTTTTGCAAACATGAGGTTTGCTTTCCACTGACTTTTTCATCCCAACTGCAGCTATACAGCAGATGAAGATTTCTTGGATGCAGATGCAGTCTTTGACTGCATTGGTGATCCTCCTGAGGAGAGATTTGATTTGGCATTCTGTGGTAACCTTCTTGAGAAGCAATACGTGAGCTAGCACACTGTCAAGTGATACTCTCAAGGATTTTGTTTGATTCAACTCTCCTCCAATATTTCTATGAATGTTTTCAAGCCAACCCTTTTAAGTCAATGATGAAAAGATCACAATGGGTTGTATAGTGCAACTTCATTTCTTGTTATGCTTCATTTCTTTGTAAGTTTTTTTTCTTGGTTTATTATATAAAGAGATGGTTGAGGCTTGAAATTTTAAATGACCTCTCAAAAGCTGGAAATATCGAAGCTTCAATCTCTTGTAGAATAAAAAACATATTTAGGGTACAGTTGTTAGCTTCTGAGACAAAATTTCAATATTATTCTGGTTTCCATTTAGGCATGTTAGCCAGTTACGAAATGGGGGCCATGATTCGGAGAATAAAGGGAATTGGTTTTTTACCCTTTCCGCTCAAATTTAATTTTCAGAAAACATTAAACTCTCTTTTAAAAATTAAATTTCACAATTAATTTATAAATTACTTTTAAAATTTAATTTTTAAAAACAATATAAAGAAAAAGGCTTAAAGAAGGCTCGAATAGAAAAATTAAGAGGTGTAAAATGATTTTCTCCTAAAATTATTACAAGTGAATCTTTTATCTTTAGTTCAAAAAGAACAAATTATATGGTTGGTCTTTTCTACAAAGGGATCCATGTTTCGTCACTTTCATTGTAATGGCATTGTATGTTTAGAAGTGCTGCTACTTTCGTCGTCGGCAACTACGCACATAAGTAACTTGAGCCTTTATAGATGGATGTAAAAGGCCATTGAGGGATAATTTGGGATATTTAGAGCGTGATTGGTTTATGACTACACATATTTAGAGCGTGTTTAGCTCAATTTATTTTGAAAAAAAAAAAACTTTAAATTTTTTAGAGATTTTTTTTTTTTAAATAATTATTATATTTTAGAACGAGTTATTCTAATTTGATCAATTACTCCTAGGTTTCTGGTTCCATTCTCCTATGTTTCCAATTAGTAAATAATAAATAATAAATAATTAAAAAATTAAAATACTTAATTCCTCTAAATTATATTCTTCTTAATTGACCAAATAAATTTTAATTTCATCATTTTTGTAAATAAATATTTTAAATTTTAATTTCATCTTAATCAATCCTTTAACTTTACCTATTTTACAAATAAACAACGTAAATTTTAGTTTATTTTCAAATTAATTCTTAAATTTTACTTCTTATATAAATAATCCCTTTCGTGAAGATTAATAAAAAAGATCACAATTATTTATATACCTTAACTCTCAATTATTCATTAATTTCACTTTTATAATTCACTTTTTCAAAAATTAAAACATAATAAAATTCAGAATTAAATCAATCAAATAAATTTTTTTATTATTATATAATTCTTTTCTGAACTAAGAAAATCTTCTTTTCAATTCATTTTTAAAAATGATTTCAATATATATTTATTATATTAAACTAAAATTAACTACGCATAGTTTTTATTGTTTTAAAAAATATTTTAAATTTACCTAAATTTAAAATATCCCTACACCAGTATTCCTTTTGTTGTTTTATACTTATATCAAGTGAGTACGAGAAAGAAGGCGACAAAGTGAGTTATTGGGGGAAAAGGATCAAAAGAAAAACAAACAATGGGAGGGAAATACTGAGTGCTGACAGCGAAGAGTGAAGAGCAAAGAAGGAACAATGAAACGATTTTTCAAAGTAGTAGGCAAAGATTCAGATGGGTGTGTGAAGAAGCCGAGGGAGAATGAAACTGAGGCTGAGACAGAAGCGACTACAAAGAATCAAAAAGAGCCTTTGAAGTTTATGAGTTGGAATGCCAACAGTTTTCTCCTTCGGGTCAAAAACAATTGGCGCGAATTCACCAATCTCGTCACCACTTTCGATCCTGATGTCATTGCCATACAGGTATCATGCTTTGCAATCTGCCACCCTTTTTGTTTCTTTCCTTTTAGCTTATTTCATATTTTTTTGAGGATTTGGATGCTGTCATGGTGTTAAGTAACATAATATGGTCATGTTCTAGAGAGAAAGGCACAGTTTTTTTATTCACTTTAACTATGGGACTAACAACCAATCAAGTGGGTTCTTGTTTGATTAATAAAAATGGTGTCTTTGTCTCTCAATCATGACCATATATAACATGAAAGCATCCAATTTTTTTGTTTTTATATTAAAACGTTGGAACTTTAGTTGTCCCTTTATTTTTAAGCTTCTATTATTCTTCTCCCAGAAAATTGTGTTCTGTTCTGTTAGATGGATTACGGTGCGCGCGCTACATAATTGTCCTAATCAACTTGGTAAAATGAAATTTTCATTAGGAAGTGCGAATGCCTGCTGCTGGCTCCAAGGGTGCGCCTAAAAATCAGGGAGAAATAAAAGATGATACAAGCTCTGCCAGGGAAGAAAAGCAGGTGCCTTTCTGTTCTGTCATAGATTATAGCTGGGACTGTGTATATAACTATATATTAGAATTTTTGTGTAATTTAATCAAATGAGCTGAATTGTTAAAAAATGAAAATTTGGTTGACCACTGAATTTGATGATATTCCTCAAGTTACCTTTTCATACTCTGGACCTCTAACTGACTTTCATCACTAGGAAAGTGGCATTTACTTTGCATCGTATATCCTTCCTTCATAGGAGTATATCTCAGTCTTTTATATTTATTTTATATGACTATTATGAAGTAACATTTTGAGAACACCAAGAGCCTTGAACGTGAGTGGTTGTCAACAATCTAGCTTGTCTGTGGGGAAGTAGGGTACTTGCGAAGCCAATCCAACATCCAATTTAGTGCATGATAAATGTGGTTAAAAAGCGTTTAGGATTAAAAAGCAAAACATGGATTATAAATGGAATGTGTGGAAAGTGGAATCAAACAGTGGACCCTCTAAACAATTTATTAACTCATGAAGCTCTCAAATGAAAGTCTATAGTGTGATAAGTTCAATGTAACACTTGAAGTTCTTTGATTGGTCTTTGAATTACTTTAGTCGAAAGGGAGAGTGCCGAATCTGTATGTAATGGTTTGCATTTTCAATGATCAACTCTCCTTAAAGCTTAAATTATTAGGTGAAGATTCATGAATGGCTTTATTACATCTATAACACATTCCCTCATGCAAGAGCCCATTGTGCTCAGACTGTGGAATGCATATAGACCCACTTTAAATATGTGCCAAAACTCAACTTTTATTTAGATGAATAAAGGTGGCATGAATCAATCCTTAGTCCATTTGGTCATAGAGGTGCTCATACCATGTCAGTGGCCAGCCAACTCTCCTTAAAGTTTAAGCTATTAAGTGAAGGTTCATAAATGGCTTTACAACATCTCTAACATGTACTAGTGTTATGTATACCCCAAAATATGAACAAAACGATACTGTTATGTTAAATTGAGATAATCATCTTATCATATTACTTTCTAATATTTTAGTACACATTTGCTCAAACTTATGCAGATAGTAATGCGTGCACTTTCAACTCCACCTCTTGGGAACTATCATGTTTGGTGGTCTCTTGCAGATTCAAAGTATGCAGGAACAGCACTACTGGTGAAAAAATGCTGCAAGCCAACACGTGTTGTTTTCAATCTTGATAAAATAGGTATCCTGCTTCGCAGATTTTTCTTATTGTATGTTTGGTATTAAATGTTTCATTTGTTTATATAATTATTTTCAGCATTCAAATGTCAGATACTCGTGTTATTGGTTTTATTATAATTATTGTCAGTTGCTGAAAAGTATCAACATAAATGTAGAAATTTTTTAATCCTGCCATGATTTGAACCTGCCGTCAGGTGACTTTAACAGAACTACATGACCATATTATTACAAATTACAAAGTGCATGTGTTTATAGTTTCAATATAAAAAATATGTACAAGGAGGAGAATCTGGAATCCTAAATATAATTTTAATACATTGGTTCTTAAAGTTCTTTTTATTGTTAAAATTTTATGATATACTATTTAAAATTCCTTTTTAATTATTTAAATGAATTTTAGGTCTTTAAAAGACAATCAGAATAGACTTTTGCCAAAATAAGTTTTTAACATATTTGCATTGTATTATATTCCATATTTTATTTACTGCTGATAGATTCTTATTCTTGTTTTTGTCATTAGTTTCAAAGCATGAGCCAGATGGTCGAGTAATCCTAGCTGAATTTGAAACATTACGCTTATTGAATACATATGTACCCAACAATGGATGGAAAGAGGAGGCAAACTCATTTCAAAGGAGAAGAAAATGGGACAAAAGGATTCTGGAATTTGTTACACAAAATTCAGACAAGCCTTTAATATGGTGTGGGGATCTGAATGTCAGGTGGCTGATCTCCATTTTTCTTTGGGTTTTGGGGATCTAGGATTAACAAATTCTATCCCTTTTGTTAGGCAACATACTTTTATCTCTTGCATTCTTTGATCATTAAGTTCTGGTTATGAGCCAAGCTCAACGGCTGGCTTTCATCTAGCTTTGCAAACAGCATGTGATGAACAAAGCAAAATTCCAATAGTTTGAGAGGACCACTAAGATTTATGTTTTACTTTAACTTGATGTAACTGCATTATAAGAAACTATGCATTGAAGCTACACTTTCCTTAGTGTTACCTAAACACAAATGTTATTTTCTGTGCGACCATGTTTACTATTGCATTTACACTTTCTAAAAAGGAGCTTCTATATATATATATATATATATATATTCATGTTTGCAGCCATGAAGAGATCGATGTGAGTCATCCAGAGTTTTTCAGTGCTGCAAAACTCAATGGTTACATTCCTCCAAATAAAGAGGTCTAAGCAATTTACTCTAAAAGTTCCCTTTAAAATAAATTCATTCCTTTTAACTTCAATAGATTTATTTCCTAAAAGCTTAAGCTGTTAGGTGGAGGCCCAATAATGGTTTTATATCTCTAACAGCTGGCATTGGGTAGTGTATGTAGTTCTCCACCATAGAAATTGTCATCAATCATCTGATGGTATGGCTTTATGCAGGATTGTGGGCAGCCTGGGTTTACCTTGGCAGAAAGAAAACGGTTCGGTACCATCTTAAGAGAGTGAGTGATCTAACTATTATTTTTGTTCATTGATTTTTGTCCTACAACATGAACATAGTAAAATCTTTTACCTTGAAGTAGTTATTTTTTCTATCTGATGTTTTGGCCTCCCATTGTTAACAATATATGAACATAGTAAATGGCATCAATTAATAGAAAAGAAGCAGCAAGAAGGGTGACTATAGCAAGTATTGAAAAACTAGGAGGACTTGGACCTTGCATTTGTTCTTTACATAGTATTCTCCTGAACTTTTGAATAAATTTATGATGTTTGTATTTTCTGTACTACAACCAAGACAAGAACAACTAAATAAAATATATTATCTTGCACCCCTTTTACCCTTTATTTTGGAATTACTTATTATTTATTTATTTAAAGTCTTAATAGCTGATTATGGAGCATGTTTCAGGGGAAAGCTGATAGATGCCTATAGATTTCTGCACAAGGATAAGGACATGGAACGAGGTTTCTCATGGTCCGGAAACCCAATTGGGAAGTAAGAAATTGATTTTATTTTGAGCTTTATACCCTGGGAATTGATTTTGAACATTACTGATTAACTATTTGTGTTGAGGCAATGCGTGTGAACAATTTAGCATCTATTTTGGCCTATTCTCTGAACTAATTTTCATTTTCACTTTTTCCTTTTACCTCTCTATAAAGGCATCCTCTGTAGCATCTGTTAAAATTTATGGTGTGTTGCAAATATAAGGAATGGGATTCTTTTCAATGCTGTTTTCTATTTGAGCAAGTCTTATTAATTATCTTAACTATTTTACAACTATGACTTGTTAGTTCTCATGAGTGTTTTCTTTAAAGGTATCGTGGAAAGCGGATGAGAATAGACTATTTTATAGTTTCAGAAAAACTTAAAGAAATGATTGTTGCATGTGAAATGCATGGACAGGGGATAGAGTTACAAGGTAAATTTCTATTGATGCGATTGATACCCCTTTTTTGTTGCTTATTCAAGAAAATTTGGAACTTGTGACATAAATATGGTTCTGCAGTTTGTGGTAATTAGTGCTCACTTGTACACAACTGCTTATGTTTGAACAAGCATGACCTTGTTCTTGTCTCCACAGGGTTCTATGGAAGTGATCATTGTCCAGTTACCTTGGAGCTATCTCCTGGTTCTAATTCTGAAGACAAGGATCCATTATAAGAAGTTCTTCCTTGTGTATGTCACAAAGCCACTGTCATCATTATTTTTCTTTTTCTTATTTATTTCTCTATTGTCTGAATGCTGAATGTTTCGTTAATGAGAAGCTGTTTTTCACCATGGTTCTCCGGCATGAACTACGATACCCGCTTAGGCATAGGAATTATTATTGTCATAGTATATAGATTAGGTGCATCATCATGGGCAAATTCTTGACTATTCCTCATGAGCCACAATACTTGCATTGCAACAAATGGTATTCACTCTAGCATTAGAAAGAAAACAAAATAAGGAGTCAGGACCATCAATTGGAGCATCATATCGAAATAAAATGGTGTGTGGTGGCAGCCTGAAAACAAAAATATAATTTGCATGATGCTCAGGAAACTGTATTTTATGTCACTAGTCGCCAGATGCTTTTATTTCCTTTGTTTTTACACACATAACGTAAGCATTTATTTTGCGTGGGATACTTCTGTCTCTCTTTCTCAATATAAGGCTTGAGACTTGACATGAATTGTTTTCATATAAAAAGTGACTTTACCGGTCTAATTGTTGAATAATGTCTAATGTGGCGATTGTGTGCGCTAAATTATAAACGAGTTGATTATAAAGATTAAAAAGTCACTAAATTTTTTTATTAAAAAAATTATACTACGTTAACCTTATCTTTAATTAGTAAAGTGATAATCTTTATATTTTAGAAGGATATTCTTTGATTATTGACTTGAGAATGATTGATTATATTATTAATTTTATATAAATTAATTTTTAATTTATATAAAAATTTTCAAAAACAGTAAAACAGTAATATAGTTTTAGATTGATTTTTAAATAATAACAAACAATAGTTCAGTTTCAATTGAGTGTTAAACAGTAACATAAATTAATTTTTAAATAACGAAAATTGAACATTTTATGTATAAGAAACGGCGCAGTACAATAGTATAGTTTTAGATTGATTGTTAAAAAATATAGATAAAGTTGAACTCCATGGGAAATTAACACATTACTTTTATTCTGTTTCATGTGTTTTAAAGATTTGTACAGGAATTTGTGAAAACTAATTTTTTTCTATTTTTACTAGTTTGTTTATATATTTGAAAATAGAGAGTAAAATAAAAATATAGTGGTTTTGAAGCTAAACAGCTCCTTAATGTTTTAAGAATATTTTTTCAAAATATCCAAATCAAACATGAGAATCTAACATTCTCAAATTAAAATTCTTAAAAAAAAAGAATAAACAATTACTACAAATTAAGCAAGTGTGGCTTTCAATAGTAAACTGATAGGGTGTTTCAAGCTAACGAACTCATCAAACAAGAGGTGTTTTGTAAAGGGTAGCGTGTCTTGTGAAAAAATGATAAAATTTTGTAAGATTTATTTTGTAAACTTTTTGAAATACATCATTAGAAAGTGGAGTTACTTAAATTGTAGAAATGAAAAAAGTAATGCATCATGATCTGATTTATAAAAAAAATCATGAACAACTGACTTAAAACAATTGATAGTGGTTATACCATTAAAGTTGCTCTACTGAATGTTGGACCACATCAACAAAAATGTGCTTGCCTTAAAAGTGCATTGAGAAATTGTGTTTTCCATTTGTGTTAAAAAAAAAAAACAATTAGCATGCATTATGTTTTTAAGATATCGTACATTACACATCTTGGTTTTTAATAATGATGGAATTTCTTTTAACAAGCCATCATAAAAAATCAGCCCCAAAAAAGATTAAAAAAAAAAGAGCAACCCAAACAGTGCTGATGAAAAATTATACATGTGAACAGATGATAAGGGGTCTAGAATCAAGCTTCCGACAAAAAGGAAAATGATTCTATTTAAACTCATTTTAGCCATGCAAAATAATAAATTACTTTTGCCGTTGTTAACCAATGAAAAAATCATGGAGTACGTGAAATAGTTGAAAAGGTTGGCTAGGACGTCTAGGATCCATATACATCAATGCACAGGTGATGTTACTTTATTAAAGAGTTTAAGAAGGAAAAGATAAAAATGAAAAAAGGTTCCACAAAATATTAATCCTGTTTAAAACTTAAAAATAAATTTCTCTATACGGGAAGAATTTATTTACATAAGTATAAATTTTAAAAAATTTATATTCAATTTGAGTCTTTAATTTAATTTAAATTTAACAATTAATAAAATAATAAATTATAATATATAAATATAAGTTAAATAAAAAATTCAGGTCAAATATAAATTTTTTTATATTTATACTAATTTAAAAAAATATTACTCTTTTATATATATATATATATATATATATATATATTATATGCTTTAGTTTTCATTGAATATATTATAATTATGTTAAAAAATTTAAATTCAAGTTTTGACTATACCGCAACTTCTATTTACAAAATTATGATTAAGATTAAAAGTATTTTGATTATTTAAAAGTATTTTGACTATAATTACCGATTTTAAAATTAAAACAGCAATTAATACACAGTAATAATTAAAAGACTCTAAAAAATCAATAAACAAATAAATATTTAATAACCTTTTAAATATAAAATTATAATTGATCCAGATATTTTATATTTATGTGATTCAACGAAAGAACGGCATCTTATTTCCCTCAAATTGCTGGAAACGCCTACATTTTAACTTCATAAGAAATATAACGTGAATTGGACTCACTTTCCATGTCAGCACAAAAATCAGTCCTACGAGAAAAGACATCCACGTTACATGTAACTTGTTGAAATTCATCGATCCTGCAAAAGCATCCGCAGGAACAGCACCAACATCATCGTCACTGTCTTTGTCCGTCGACACTTTCGTCTGCAGATGCCTTCTTTTGATCGGATTTAGATGAATCTCCCCTTGCCGGTTACGGTGACGGTGCTGGAGCCTTAGGCTTAGTAACAACGACGTCAAGTGCAAGGTACAAATGGCAAGCTTGTTCGCGTAAACGGTGCCGGTAACGGTGGCGTTGACGGCACCTGTGCTCGTGCTCACTTAGGTGCCGCCGAAAGTGGTGACGTTAAGTTGAACCCTTTTGGGTTGGAACTGGGTTTGTTAGAGCATCAAAGTTTGAGATCGAAACGAATGAAGAGTGCGTGTGGAATTGTAACAGTTTTTGCGATTGGTTTTTAGCGTAAAGGAAAATGGTAAATCGAGTCCAGCAATCAAATCAAAATAGATACATAATTATAATTATGTACCCTCGTAATGTTGCTGACCTTGATGTGATTATACAGTGATGATGGAGGCTTTTTTTGCATGACTTTTTCATCCAAAACTGTTGCAGAATTTAGTTATTTCATGCAACAAGGGGATGCAGAGAACAAAAAAGGACCAATCAAATTAAGACACACGTCCACCTTCAAGCGACCTCATCTTCTGACGTGTCATGAATCGGTGGGGTCGTCTTTGACTCCCCAGAGAGACCATATGACCACATCATCAACACTGACATCTTTTACACACATTTGGTCCGAAAATAGTAGAACTTTAACGGGGTTAAAAACAGAACAACCAAAACCCACAGGAAGAGAAGCAAGCGGCAGAAAAAGGGCACATCTGCAAAAGCAGTTCCACCCATTTATTATTTTTGCATATTTATTTATTTATCTATAAACCAAAAAACGCCAAAAGCGGATTCATTACAAAACTAACTAAACGAGGAAAGGGAAAATGGCAGTTTTGATAAATAAATGAAAAAATAATGGCATTTCTCTTAAAAGACTCCACAAATAAAACCCCCCAACTCACACATCACTCACATGTCCTCTACTTCTACTACTTAATTCTACTGACCCCTGCCCTGCCCTGCCTCATTCGTCTCGGTTCCCCTGCCCCTGCCTCTGCCCCCAATTAATTTTTATTTATTCACCATTCCTTCCTCAGTTAACAGAGGAAGTGAAGGGATATTAAAAAGAAAAGAGAGGAATAAGAATAACTTGGTGTGGTGTGGGGGTGTTCAATGAGAAGCATAGAAACTCATTAATGGGGGCTTCAGAGGGAAACGGCGACGTTTTACCATGGCTGAAATCACTACCGGTGGCGCCGGAGTACAGGCCAAGCGTGGCCGAGTTCAGAGATCCAATTGGCTACATATTCAAGATAGAGAAGGAAGCTTCCAAGTACGGAATCTGCAAAATCATCCCACCCTTCCCACCTTCCCCAAAGAAAACCGCCATCGCCAACCTCAACCGGTCGCTGGCGGTTACAGGTTCCACATTCACCACTCGCCAACAGCAGATCGGGTTTTGCCCCCGTAAGGCTCGACCTGTTCAGCGGCCTGTTTGGCAGAGCGGTGACCATTACACCTTTCACGAGTTCGAGTCCAAGGCAAAGTCTTTCGAGAAAACTTACCTCAAACGCCACACCAAGAAGGGCCAGGGCCCAGGCCCACTCGAAACCGAGGCACTCTTCTGGAAGGCCACGCTGGACAAACCCTTCTCCGTGGAGTATGCGAACGACATGCCTGGTTCCGCGTTCTCCCCAAAATGCCCCGAAGCAGGGGATCCTGGCTCCTCTCTGGCTGACACTCCGTGGAACATGAGAGAGGTTTCGAGGGCGAATGGTTCACTCTTGCGGTTCATGAAGGAGGAGATTCCGGGCGTTACTTCTCCTATGGTGTATGTGGCCATGCTTTTCAGCTGGTTTGCTTGGCACGTGGAGGACCACGACTTGCACAGCTTGAATTACCTCCACATGGGCGCTGGCAAGACCTGGTATGGTGTTCCTCGTGATGCCGCCGTTGCATTTGAGGAAGTCGTTAGGGTTCATGGCTATGGTGGAGAGATAAACCCTCTTGGTAAGATATAGCATAATTGCATGCAATGCAAGTTATTTGCCTGTTTATGTAGCCGTATTCGGTTGGAATTTGATTTTGGTTTGACTACAGTTGACCGTTTAATTCTGTTTTCTGTGCAGTTCTTGCAAGCGGTTTTTTTTTTAAATCATGAAATTTGTTAAGTTAGTTAGGTTCTTGCAGATGATGATTGCTATAGCATTGCCTGTGGTAGTATGGTTCTGCATCTGTCTACATTTTTTGCTTCTTCGCTTGACCTAGTTTTGTTTTTTTGTTTGGGGACTGACTGATAT